TAAAGATAGGATGCATCTTTAGTGAAGCAGTGTGTCTTGTCCATCAGATGGCATTTTTAGGAGTAGAACGTATTCTGTTAAATAAACAGGGAAAACAATCAAATATAAGAATACATATACTATATATATATATATATATATATATATATATATATATATATAAAGTTACATTTTTGATCATCATAAAAATGTAGATTTTTTTATTTTATTGAATTTATAAATAGATAAATAGATTAAGGAAATAAGTTGCAATAAAAATATACCTTACACCTTAAATAATCAAAAATGGACTCAGATTTAAATGTATGATTTAACTGATATCTAAGTTGTTAGACTACATACTGAATACAACAATGTTGCTCCATTGTTAAGTCATTCAGTGTCTTTTTATTTCAGAAAGCTTTTTGTCCACTGTCAATGAAGTGTGTTGCTTTAGTGCTATAAATATAAAGCTGTATCAGAACTGAAACCATTGTTACCACTTGTTGTAGTGCTACAATTACTTCATATGATTGTTGTCAAATGAGATACACAGTGCTGTTATTAAACAGCTAATGTCAAATTACTTGAGTTAATTATGACATGAGCAAAATTTACAATTAAACATTTAAGCTTTTAAAAGATCATTTCTCCTGCCAGTGTGTTCTGGATCAAACATTTAGCAAGCTTTTCATAAGGTCAAGGTTTGAATTCCTTCAGAACAAGTGACAGTCGAACTCCCCTTTTTACCTTAAGGAGGTGTTTTAAAAAGAGTGAATTAGTGTCATATTGCCTCAGCCCTCAGAGGAGCTGTTAGTTTAGTTTCAAATGTTGTTCTTTTTCAGCTGTCGGAAAGTGAAAGCAAAGACCTGACAATCAGCGGAGTTACTTAAGCAGAACAGACACATAAGAGGGCAGCTTTAAATTTTCCCTGCAGACTCCCATAATGACACATTTTACCCATCATCAATAGCATGTGGAGGCAGGGCTCTGGGTGTTGATTAATGAAATTACCATACACACTACTGACACAAGAAACAACTCATAATTTATGAGTTGGTCTTTTTGTCTTTAATTGGTGCACATAGTCCTCTATTGAAAAATTACAATTTGAAGGCCTCTGGGTCGCATTTGAGATTTTTGGAATAAAAAAACACACTTGTTTATGAACAGCAGTCGATATGAAGACATGTCTTTGATGTTTATATTATATGTTCTTCTTGTGTAAATAACACCTAAACCCCATTTTTGGTATCTTCACCTATAAGATTTAGTAACAGGATAATTCAGTTGTTAATGGTAAAAAGGAAAGAACAGGAAAATGTCTTATCTTTGTTTCCCTTTTTGACTTTGTAAGTACAGTGATAGTCAGCTGCCTGCTACATGAATGCCACAGCACTGCTTGTTCTTGTCACAAACAGTTGTGTGTGTGTGTTTGTGTGTGTGTGTGTGTGTGTGTGTGTGTGTGTGTGGGTGTGTGTAGCCAAGAGAAAGGGAGAAAGTAATTGTTGGCACCTCACCGCTCTCAAAGTTGCCCTTGGCTTTGTGCTCTTCACTGCAACCTGATCTTTTCATTCCCCGCCTCAAAAGAAGCCTTTTTCTGTTAGCTCCGCTTCCTCTTACTGTTCAAAGGTGCTTGAGTGTGTGTGTGTGTGTGTGTGTGTGTGTTTGTGTATGCGTTTGAGTGTTCAAGAGCATCTTTCTCAGTGGGAAAAGAGTCTTTTTCCACCAAAGGAGAGGGCACGGCGGCAATGTCAGCGCCACTGATTAGAACCGGCCACATGAGAGGCGAGAAAGAGACGGATAGAGGGAGGACATTTGAGCGTAAAAGGCAGAGAGAATCTTTGATGTGATCCTCCTTAGTCTCCTTTTCTCGCCCTCTTGCACTCACACGCACACACACACGCACAACACGGTGGCTCATGTCCCGCTGTGATGCTGACATTTGAAAAGGTAAAGTAAGGAGAGGGGAAGGGAGGAAGAGAGGAGAGGAAAGAAGATGAGAAGCAAAGGAGGCAATTTGTTGTGGTTGTCTCGCACACACGGACTCCTCACCTCAGACAACCATCGTATAGCACAATAAAACACTCAGGAGTTCAGCTTGTTTCAAATGTTTAGATGTATCCAAGATCAGGAAATTAAGACTTATGGTGTGTTTGCATTTCCTTGTCAGTGTTTGCACAGTTGGGGTCGGTTTGTCCGTCTTTAATAACTCACTGTGTTTGTCTGTATTAGTGAGAGATATTTCATTTTCTGTGGCATAAGATAGAGTTTTAAAGGTTACTCTGAGGGTCAAACTACCCTCTGAGGGTCAAGACAAATTAAAAATGTAGCTCATTTCGTCGCTCTCCATTTCAGATTATCCAAAAGTGCACAACCTCTATTAAAAAGTATCTCCTTTTTCTATCTAATGCGCCAAATGGTACTGATAAAGAAGTGTGTTCTGGCTGAGTTTCGTCCTGTGTGTTGTGATGTCCCTGTGTGGGAGAGATGAATGTCTTGGCTTGTTCCTATCACTGCTGATTCCCTGGCAGACTAAACGGCCGGTGCAGCGGTGCAGTCAGAATGAATGGACGGCCTCTGTCTTCCCATGACAACCTCCAACCTACCCACTGCTCTAATCCTCCACCGGGGCCATTGATCTGCCTCTTTATTGATTCCCTCTCTTTCTTTCTTTCTTCCTTTCCTTCTTTTTTTCTTCCTCTCTATATCTGTCTCTTTCTCTCTTTCTTCTTTCTCTCTTAGATCTGTCTGCCTTGGCCAAGAAGATCAAGCTGGAGGCGATGGCCAGTTACCACAGTAACCAGCAACATGGCCGGGCAAACGGAGAGAACGGCGACCACGACCCCAGACTGGGTGAGTTCTATCTGTTTGCCTGTCCACATAAACACACTCAAATGTTTTATTATGGTCATAAAACACATCCTTTGGTTTGTTGTCTGCGCATATCTTAGATGCTGATTCTATTCAGTTAGAGCAGCTGTGTTTTGGTGCGACTGCTGAACCAAGGTGATTAAAAAAACAGGATGTGATATCATCGTCACCGTCTGTACCGTACGTCTTTTCCTGTGAGGGATGGTGAATGAATAACAAAAGCTCCTTTTTCCACATGTACAAACCCTTTCAAAATTGCCCTTAGATTTGGGGTGAGCTGCATGTGTGACCGGCTCTGTGCATAATTTTTCCATGTGAAGTTAGTTAGTTGATGTCTGAACACAACAGGTAATGTTCAATTACTTTTATATCCTGTGACTGGTGCAATCTAAGTACATGCAAAGAAACTGCTTTATTATGTTTCCTGCTTGCCCATATATATTCTATATATTATATACACACACACACACACACACACACACACACACACACACACACACACACACACACACACACACACACACACACACACCATAGTCTGATAGGGAAAATTTTAAATTGTGCAGGATATATTTGAATAAGCAACTCGGGAAGATTTCAGGGTCAGGCTGTCCTGAAATTTTCAAGATACTGACATGAGTGTGTGTGTGGATAAAGCTTAACAAGGGAGCAATTGAGTCCGTTCTTCAGACTATAAAGAGACATCTTGGTCATGTTATCCAAACAATCAAATTAAAATGAACAGATTTTTTTTGTTGTTGTATTTTTTGCTTTTCAACAAAAAAAAAGTTATTTCTTTTTCCGTGATAAGGAAAAAAAGGTGAATAAGGGTGAATATTAACTCCAGATTGGAAATAGGAAATATATCCTGACTAAACACACTTGGTCATCCGCCCTGCAGCCTCAAAATGCTGCACACATCATTAGTACGTATTAGTCATCACATGGAGAGAGTGTAGATCCAGCTCAGCTTTGTTACTCATGCTCAACACATGGTGTTTCATCTCATACTAAGTAACATAAGAAGAGGATTTATTGGAAGGAAGTCTTTACTTTTCAGAGCTCTCATTTACAGATAAGTCACGTTGTCTCTGGAAAGCGCAAAATTGCCTAATTTTGAATTGAATCCATTTGGTCTCTGCTTTAATTTTATCGTAAACAAAATGTTTCCTTAACTGCATACCGATCCCTGGCTATGCAGTGAAGGAGGAAGGCCAGTAGAAATGGAGCACTGGAGTACGTGAGCGAGCGAGCACATCGGGATGATAGAGAGATGAATAAGATGAGGGGCCGAAGCCAAATCAATAGTCTTCTCTGTAATTCACTGTCCTGAATGCAAACGACAAATGCCGGACAATCGATGGCGGAACAGACACACGCACACACATGCATGCACACACGCGCACACACACACACACACACACACACACACACACACACACACACACACACACACACACACACACACACACACACACACACACACACACACACACACACAGACAAAATCGGACTCACCGCCCCCACTGTTATCGACAGGTTAAAGCGACATCAGTGTGTTTAGACAGATGACAGGGCTTATGGAGCGTCTGTGTGGAATACACTATCAACCTTGGACACGTACACACACACACACACACACACACACACACACACACACACACACACACACACACACACACACACACACACACACGTATTGAGTGCATGCTGTAAGGGTTTAGGGACAGAAATGAAAAAGAAGAAATTGTCCTTGTGTTTTTCAAAAATGAAAAGGAGACTAAAAAAAACCTACCATATGTTGTAGCCCTTTTTCTTTGTTTTGCTTTATTTGTTTGTTTACTTGTTTGTGTGTGTGTGTGTGTGTGTGTGTGTGTGTTGTTCTTTTTTTTTTCTACCCCATGCCTGTAAACAATCCCCGTCTGTAGCATTGTTTACCATTGTATACACTCGGTTACGACTGCCAGCATCTGCGCACAGTTAGGTGGCATGGTAACCACGAGCCATTATAAACCTGTAAAGCTTAATCACTGTTAATGATAGAGTCAAGTGGAAACACACACAGTCAAACAAACACACACATACACAGCCCCTTAGAAAGCAAATACATACACACAATGTGCTTTTTCCATACCACCACCCACGGCCTTATGGGAAGGGATAGGGCCCCTACCAGAGCTTTAAACCACTACAAAGGGGATCTCGGATTACACACACGCACACACTCACAAATGCTGAGTGTGACACCTTATGGGCTGGGGAAGAGCAGGGAGAGCAGCCATTTCTGCATTTAACAAGATCTTCTGGGAAATTTACAGTAACTGTTTGTTTACAGTAATGGTTTGTTTGGATAAACATAAGAGAGGCACTTTGACTTTTGATGTTTTTTAATGAAACATAAGAGCGAGTGATGGGAGGGCAGAGGGGGGGGGGTGTAGAGTTCAGAAGACAGAGGGAATAAGAGTGAAAATGAAATTATAGAGGTGGGAAAGGGGGGGGGGTGGATTTGGTTGTGGGGGGTGACAAAAGTAGAGCACTGGCTGCTTTCTAACCAAAGCTTGATATTTGGAGTTGGCTTGCTGGTTGATTGTCAGAGCATCTGGTTATTTAGCTCCATTCAGACTGATCTTTTGTTTGAATTGGTTTCTGCTCTGGGCAATTGAGAGACTAATCTGCCAAATGCACAAAGCCCCGCACATATGTCCAGCGAGGCCGACTCCTAAAGTCAACGCCTCACTCTTTATTTCTAAGTTTGCCTTTTTTAATTTTCTTTCTTTCCTTTCTTACCTTTCTTTCATTCTCCTTTCTTTTATTCTCCTTTCTTTTCCTTCTTTCTTTTATCTGTTCTATTTCATCTCTCCTCTTTGGATAGCCCTTTTTTTTTTTTTTTTTTTTTTTTTCCAATGCACTCGTTCTATTATTTGTGACAATTGTGTGGAATAGAGTCCAAGATTTTTCCCTTTGTGTTTATAATTACCCGGCGTGCATTGCTGGCCCAGCACCAGGACTGCCATCAGCTTCTTTTGTTCCACTTCCTCCCTGTGTTTCTTTTGTTTTTGTTTTTCCTTTTATTAAATGATAAATATTTATGTCATTTTCTCCCACCCTCCACCCCCCCTTAACAGGATTGTTTGTTTCATGAATAGAGGGACTGCAACAACCCACTAGGGTGCTGTTGGGAGGAAGGATTTTCTTTAAAGATAGTGGATGCCTGTCTTAAAGAGATGAGTGTGAACAACAGATTGGCCAGGATAATAAGACTTTGGTTTGAACCGCCGCAGAAGTGTTGGACTATTGTCAAGAAAGAAAAGTGTGCTGGTTTGTCTTTATTCCAGAGAGGCTACATTTTGCTTTTGCAGGTGACATTGAAACCATTTGAAGAGTCCAACAACATATTCAGGCCATCACTGTCTTCACATCTTTGTGTTGTAATGAGCAGCACAAGTGTTTCTGGCTCATGTCTTCTCCCACTCCTCCCGTGTGCTTATCTTTTCCAAACTCACATTTCAAAACCCTCGACAGTCATCCAGGCAAATCTGACATCACAGAGGAATACAATCCGTGTCCAGTTTCAATCCTGTCATCAGATATTCAGAATCTCTGTGTTCATATCTCAGGACTGAGCAGATGAAAACCTTTCATTTGCAAGGGTTTAATTAAAATGAAGCATAATTTAGACATCTGCTTCATGTTGGGTAAAGGTATTGTTCAGCTCTGATGTACTTTTAAACAGAGCTGCCGGTCTGACCCATTGACTGTATATAAAGATGGATGATGTGTCTCCAACTCCTCCTGTTGTACAAAAGTGAAGCCAAAATACCCCCTGGGCTGGGACAGACCCTGACATATTGGGCATTTGGAGTCAGAGTCTGTGCGGTAGGTGTCGTCTGGCTGAGCTCCAGTCATTTTTTTCAGGTTGAAGCAGACACTCACTGTTATGGAAAGTTGAATGATGCTTGTGTTAGTGTTCCTCATATTTCCCCCAGCCTTTCCTCTTATACACTTCTAATGTCGGGGGCACAGCGCTGCAGGAGCCTCATTTGTCAACAGAGCTGTCAATCATGGCGTTAGAGTTATAACCCTTCTTATACCATCAGAAAAATAAACTTCTGAGAAAAATGAGCAAGACATAAAACAATTTGGTAAGAACTAACTATAATGACAGAAAGCATGTGAGAAAACGTTTGACACATGTCCCATATGTTAACATGGGACATGTGGGCGTGGGCTTTTTGACTTAACTGCAGCCAGTCAGTAGGGGGAGCTCAAAAAGTTATGGGTTCCCTTTTTGGGAGTTGTCATGTTGCCCATCTTTTCATACAGTCTACGGTTGGACCGTTCCTTTACAAGAGATGCAGCAGACTCTGACTGTTCTCTTCTGAGCTTCATCTTTTTCATTAGCTTTGAATTCCTTTCTTTCTTAAATTTTTCTCCAGTTCTGGATCAGTTGCCCTTCATGATGATGTCACATCCCCTCATCCCTGCCAGCCTGGCGCCGGCCTCTGTTTCCATGGCAATGGGCCAGATGAACCGACTGAGCACTCTGGCCAGCATGGCTAACGTGGCACAGCTCCACGCCAAGCCCCCTGCCAGGACTCCCACCTCCGTCATTAAGGTGAACTCAGAAGCCTGTGAGCCCGCTGCATACCAGTAATCCTCCATGTACAGGAGACACATGGGAACACATGACATGAAATCTGAGTTTAAGCTCCATAAAAGTGTTGTTTTAAAAAGGGATATTGAGAAGAAGAAAATAATATGTCATGGAAGAACAAAGTTAGTAATTTCTCTTTAAACAGTCCTTTGTTAAAGTGGTTTCTCTCTTAATGGAACTAAAGGCAGTTTAGATTAATATAAAGTATATTTCCAGAAATGCCTTATCGTGTCACAAAGTGCTACGTCAAACCATGTCCTCATCAGTCTCAGGAAGTACCGTCTCCGGTCATAATCTTAACGACGCAGACCATTGTTTTTCAAATTCTAAGCTGTGTCTCCAAGGTGGTTTACAAGGCTTTTGAAATGAGCTCTAAATTTTCCAGTAAACACAGAATTATGTAATCCTATAATGTAATAAATATTCCCATTCCAAGAGTGTCATTTTTATGTGTAGTTGGTTAGAGGATATCTCTATCTCATAAAAGTAAAACAGTGTTTGACTGTATGAAGGCATTGTGCTATGAAAAGGTATAACAATGTCACATTAAAGCTAACTGGCTGCCTCAAATCAAGCTCGTTAGTGGCAACACTGCTAAGCTAATGTATTTGCTAAGCTAAGGTAACATGGCTTTCAATTTATTAAGGTATAAAAAAAATAGCGAGCCTTCTGTGAAAACGTCACCAACATGTCACAGCTTGTGAGCTTTCACAAATCATGTCTCAACACAGTAAACACAGCCTTTATTAGCAGACACGCAAACCACAGACTTACTTCTCTCTGAAACTGAAAGCAGAATTGTTATTTTGATGGTCTTTTTTTTTTTTTTTAGATTAAGTTTATCATTCATAACTAAATGAGCCAGCAATAGAATTGTTCAGTAGTGTTCAAGAAAAAAAGGACTAAAATCTTTCAGCTATTATTAGCCTAGCTTAGAAGAGTAGCATTATGCCTTGTTAGATTAACTCCCAAATGTAATTCATCCAATTTGGAACTAGCTGCTAATGACATAAGATGTGTTTTATCATTAACTTATTTTCATAGTAAAGAACATTAGAACAGGTTTAGGATTTAGGATTATGACAGTGGATAGAGTCAAAAACTGAGGAGAGAGAGAGAGTGGGGAACGGCACTCTGGAAAGGAGTCACAGGTTGGATGTGAACCCGGACTTAAGCCTCTGTACATGGGGCGCGTGCACAGCTAGGCTACCGGGACCCTCGAAAGATAAGAAATTTGACCTTGCATACATTAAAGAATATCAAATCAAGGGTTCAGTGTTATTTTTCAAGTGCCGGTTAGTTTTTTTCAGATAGTTCATCTTTATAGGCTTAACAGACATTACAAACTTTGTAGTTTCTGTCCTTACTGCTTTTTGTGCTCCTAATCTTTTTAAAACCAGTACTTTTCATTGAATTTATACCATACGTTTTTTGAATGTCTGATAGGAGCGAGTGTGTGACAGTCCCTCCCCTTCTCCCTCACTGGATGAAGCTCAGATGTCATCCAATCACAGCAGCAGTGTGTCAAGCTCACCGTCTCACACAGAACGCACTGCTGAAACCCCACGTACGTATTCACCTGTGTGAAAATTCAGTCAAAGTATTCTCATAAAAAAAACATACAACACATACATATGGAACATATGTTGGTCATTTCTATATTTTTATTCCAGATGCACATGATGATCGCTTGTCGTCAGGTCACAGTCTGCTGGGACATTCCCCCGGTGTGGTGTCGGGGGCCAGAGAGACAGAAGTGACTTCACTGGAATACAGCAAGGAGAACAAGAGGGGACACACTGACAGAGGTGAGGTTTATTATAATGTTTGCTAAGCTTGAGTCAACCTTGGATCTGCTTTAATTTCCAATGGATAAAAATAATAGAGGTAGTTATTTAAATGTCTCTTATGTAGATGGGTATTTTATTTTATTAGTCCTCATTAAGGTTCAATGTCATGTTCTTTAAAAGGTAAAGTGCTCGCAGTTTTTTTTTTAAACTACTTGTAACACTAATTAAACATGTATTTGTTAATAATGAGTAATGATTAAATCGCAGACAAATCAATTCCTGTTTGAACAAAGTCAATCAGTAAAGCACAAAAAGGTTTCTGTTTTCCTCCAATCCATCTACATCATCAGTCACTTGTGGCAGCAGTGTGTTGGTTTATTTAACAGTGTTTTAAAAGAGAAAGGCTTTCTAATGGTTTGACAAGAAAGAAATATCTCAGTTTATCTCAGTAACAGGTCGATAAGGATTCACAGTCTCACCCTCTCTCTCCTCCTCGCTGTTGGTGGCCCCCCTGGCTCCCCGTGGCGTGCAAAGACAAATAATTCTGCAAAACAGGGCTCCATTAGACCAGGAAGCAGTGTTACATTAGCGAGCCATTTGCCGGGCCGCGGCCTAACGAGCCAGGCGGCCTCCCGCGCTCTCAGCTGGACCTCATCTGCATAACGACCGCCTCCCTGTCGTTAGGGCCTGCGTTGCCACGGTGCTGCAACGTCAGTTGTTTGGTTCTCTCTGTCAGGGAGGTTTGCATTAGCTTAATGAGGACTGCTCAAGGACAAACAGTCAGCAGAAATCTACAGCGAGAGAGAGAACGAGGAGAGAGGGAGAGTTTGTATGTGTGCGCACACGCCTGTGCAAATGTATTCTAATACTGAATCACATTATTCAGTAATCGAATCTAAAAATCACAAAGGCTTCCCAGGTAAGGCTTCAGACGCTGTCAGGTATCTGTGAACATATTGACAAAGCAGTGATGGCAGCAGCAAACTTGAATGCCATGCATCACACATCAGATTTATTTAATTGATTTTCAATTGATTTTGCTGCATGCAAATTAAACACATGTACTTTTACTGGATTTTGCCGGCTTTTGTGTTTGACCTACAGCATCACAGGAGAGGTTTCTAGTGGATTGAAGAGTTTCAAAGAGCACCAGAGTGCTGTCACTCTGTCAATCCATCGTATGATAATCTCTGAGTGTCTGGGTGTGTGTGTGTGTGTGTGTGAGGCAGGTTTTGGCTGTGTGTGCTGTTTCAGTGGTCTTTGAACAACGTATCCATGCAGCAAAGATCAGAGGCCATCCCTGACACCTCACTCCCATTAACCAAACATCAGCAGAATTTTATTCTCTCTCTGTCTCTCTTTTCTCTCCCTCCTTCCCCCCCCCCCTCCATCCCGTTCTCTTCCGCTGACTGGCAGTCTTCACGTGGTGAAGTTCATTAGCCCTGGGGACGGCTGGGGGAGGAATAAGAGAGATGAAGTTGGGAGAAAAGAGAAAAACAGACAGTGACCTTGGTTAGGGAGATGGGTAAATGATCAAACGAGCTGGCAGCAGTGTGCATGTGTGTGTGTATTTATGCCAAACGTGTGTGTGAGTGTGAGGTAAAGTAGGCGTAAAACAGTAACTCAATAAAGGATCAGTCACATCCAAGGAGCCTGGGGAGCCCACGCTGCTGACTGCGCACTTCAGCGGATACGAGTGTGTGTGTGTCTGTATGTGAGCCACGGGAGTGTAGTTGGATGCCCTCCGCTGAGCTCGCCAGCACCTGCTAATTACCTTTCTCTACAGAGCAATGCTTTTAGCAAGAAAGAGGGAGAAAAGAGAGGAGGAGAGAGAGGGGGGGGGAAGGTATTGCTTCTCATCTGTGAAACACCTTGAATGTGACAGTTGCCAAGACGTGAGGCCGAGGAGGAGAAGGGGAGGTGGGAGGATTTGGAGCAGAAGATGCTGTGGTCAGCTAAGTGGAGAAAACACTGTCATTTGTCACAGACGCAGAAAAGTGCCAGATATCACATCGCACGTTCACACTCGTCTCTGCTCCAATGACCGGCCGACTCCCGGGATGTCTCCGTCCTCAGTGGCTCGGATGACAGTAAAGCGAGCAACTGCCTGATGTTGGTTTAAAAAAAATAATAAAAAAAAAAAAATGCAGAAAATGGCTAATCTTCATCTCCCCCACTGTCACGAATCGGGAACACACAGTTCTCAGGTTTACAAACAGATGGTCATCCATAATGCAGCTTCTTAGCTGTTTTTACGGGAGATGTCAAGCTGTGATGCATTATCAATAGGCAGAGTGCCATCTAATAAAGGCTAACCACATTTTCAAAAGCTCAAAACCAGGACTTTGGCGTATGTGTACATACACAGTGTAATAAGTGTTAACACCCATTTACTTTCAGGCTTGATATGTTTACAAGAAATTAAGGAACTGCATGAGTGCACCATAAAATACAGAAACCGTAGAGTCCAGCTTGGATATATTTATATACTGTATATTTGAATAATGTGAACAAACGCAACACCTGCATGCAGACTCACACTACATTAAACAGGAAGGAAATAGCATGCTTGTTTGGTTATTTGAAACTGCAGGAATGTAAGGGTGAAAATCTAAAATCTCTTTTACTTCTTTCTGTTAAAGTAAAGTGCACTGCATGTTACTTTCTTTGGACAAAAGCATGTACCTGATTAGTTTAATGACTATAAAGGAAAGACAGTGTATAAAAAAACAAAAATGTAAAATGCATGAACGACAAAGATGAAGTTAAAGATTATTTGAAATGTGTAATTAGTTGTTCTCTTAAAGTCTCTGAGACTTTAAGAAGCTCTTCTAAAAAATATATAATGCATATCACTCTTTTATAAATATTTGACTCGCGGTACATGTTCTAAGACTTGCATCTAAAACTCCACAAATTTTATTTTAAAGGAGTCTTCATTAACTGAAAATAATATGAAGCCACCTTTACTATATCACCTCTACAATGATAAGGCTGTTTTACTATATTTTAATTACTGTCATCAAATACAAACACTTGACCTAAACAAAAATGACTTCTTATCTAGTTTATCTCAATACTTCTGACTTGGACTTCTCTGTCTGAGCACATCTTTCAAATTGAAGACACAAGTCTTTAAAAACAGATCACAAATAGAATTTGTACTGGTTTTTTCCCCCTAAGGGAATAGCTGGGCACTGTTGTTCTAAGCAGACCTTACTCAAACACGGGTAAACAGTGTGTGTGTTGGGGGCTGCATTACTTACTATTTACAACAGCAGGATATGGGAATGTAAAATAACTGCAATGCACATTTTCAGGTGTTTTTTCAGATGTGTTTTTGGACAATGATGGAGCTCTGTGGCACAGAGGAATCAGCCCCTTTTCTACACTCGAAATATATTAACCTTACTAACTAGACTTCAAATTGTCTCTCTGCCCTCCAGACAACAGCTCCTTGGCCACTCACACAAGCAGGGAGAGCTGTGATAGACAAGTCTACCAGAAACTCCCGTCAGGCAGGGAGGCCTGTGAGAGGGTGTCTCACACCGCAGGACAGAAGCTCCCAGCAGGTTTCCACCACGCTCCCTTTATCTTCCCGGAAGGCTTGTCCTCCATAGAGACCCTGCTCACGAACATCCAGGTGAGGCTCTGCCGGGGCTTTATTATCATTATACTCTGAGATGAATAGGAAGGGAGATGAGCCTATCTCAGGGATTTCCTGAAATGGTTAATAGCAGAGCAGGCAGACATTTAGGATGTGGAATAATTGGGAAGGGCGTGTGCTGACCTGCTTCTCAGAGTTTACATGTCTTTGTTGTAAAGGAGCAACAATGAAAGCACTCAATAGATGGGTTTTCAACTGAATAATAACTTGTTTTTAACCTCATCTAACCCTGGGAGGAGGTGGCAGTTCATTTTTTTAGCATGTAGCTAAAAGGTACTGGACTGATATGAGGCTAAAAATCACCTTTTTTGAATCACTTCTTCTTTTCCTGTGTGAGTAAATCCAGGAATTATACAACAGAGTAAAGCATTTGAACTATAATAATGCCAGAGGAGGAACTCAAATCCTTGTGATCTTTTACAGTGAGGTGCTCATCTTTTATATTTACCGCGATTCATTTGGAATTATCCTCACTTTGAAGTTTAAACACATACTGCCTTTGTAAAAGTGCACTAAAAATGTTAATATTTACACAAGATCAGGAGATTGTTTTAAGAAAGGTTCTCTCTGGTGGTTGAAGAAGACAGATGTCTCTGCTGCTTTCTGCTCAGTGTGTAACCTGTTGATGTGCGCCTGTGTGTCTCCAAGCAGGGTCTGCTGAGGGTTGCCATAGAGAACGCCCGGGCGCAGGAGAAGCAGGACCAGCTGGAGAGGACGGAGCTGAAGATGGAGCTGGTCCGCGAGAGGGAGCTCAGAGAGACGCTGGAGAGACAGCTCAGCATGGAGCAGAAAAACAGAGGTAGATGTTATGATGGGATAAAAAAGAAAAAAAAAAACAGAATTAATAACACTTGCATTTCTGAACATTTTCTTGCATATGTTGGGTTGCTTGTTCACACCTTCCTCATAGTTAAAACTTTGTCGCAATGTTGAGTTTTTTCCTCTTATATCAATGTCAAGTATAATTGTACATATTCACAGTATAAAAGAAAGTGTAGAAAAGAACACACAGTACATACTGGCGAGCAGTAAACATGATGAAGCTGTTTAGTTACATTAACAAAGATGCCACTGATCACAAAACAAATATTTCGTGAATTTTTCAGGAGTTTTGTGCATGTGTGATTTTTTTCTAAATGATTCTAATATTAATATATATTAAGTAGTGTTTTGCTTTTTTATATAGCAGCAATATGAATAGCATCTAAAACTGTCTTGGTTGAGCTTCCTCTCCTCCTTTTATAATGTTTTTTTTTCATTTAAACATTAACATTCCTTTCACAGACAACCAAATTTAAACTGAATTATCGGACAAAGAAGTAGGGAAAACTACTCTTATTGCCCTTTAAACTGTTTGCAGGAGTGAATTACTCCGATTGTGGTTTGATCTACAAACTGAGTAACGTTTGGCAAGTTCAGGTTCAGGTGACTTTATTTGAACCTGTCAGTAGATTTATTTGTAACCAGCAAGATTGACATCCATCATAACACACAGATTACAAAACAACACATAAGAGAGAAGGTAAACTATTTAAATCCGACTAAAACATGAAAAAAACATTATAACAATTATACAAATGATTAAAGTGCTCAAGCTTCCACCATCAGATCATATAGGAGATAGAAGTCTCAACCAATAAGATCAACAAAATCACAAATAAATAAATAATAATCTCTTCAGCTAGGGTAAACTAAGTTTTGGACATTAAAAAAAACATTTCATAAAAGCTGTCTCTTATAACGTAAGAGCAAAAGTGATGGATGGGGTTTGTAATTTGTGGTGGTGACTGTAAAACTTAGATTCAAAACAGGCAGTAACATATAAAGTTTTCTTAACCTGGAAGTAGGCTTTTTGTTGTCCTGACGAGCGGTGATTCTTTTTTTTTGCCTTAAAAAGGTCAGACGTCCTTGAATTTAATTTCATGTCGAGTAAAGTGTGCTTTCAGGATAAGTAAAAAGAGAGTGCAAAATACACTTCAAGCTCGCAATCCCTTAAACCTCAAATCTCCTGGTAATAAGATCCAGGAAGGTCAGGAAGCACGGAGACCACACAGAAATATAATAAACAGATTCATGCAACGACAGATACAAATGAAGTTGATACATATAATCTATAGAGAGTCATGATTTAAAAAAAAAAAAAAAAACATGAATCACTTTTACTTGAAACGTATATCTTCTCCCCTTTCCCCTCTTTCTCTCCTCTCTTCAGTTCTGATCCAGAAGCGCCTGAAGAAGGAGAAGAGGAATAAGAGGAGACTTCAGGAGGCGCTGGAGGAGGAGGTCAAACTGCGCGATCAGGCCGAGCACAGCCTGCTTCACACAGCCAACACACACACAGGTACACACACAGAAAGTGCTTTGAACATACCATCATTTATTTATTGCCGCTTCGACTCACAAGTGAGCATCATTTTCACACATTCATGAGAAATGTCACCAAGACTTTGAGACTCTTCTTTCGCCTCTAATTATTAATTGTCCTCATTAATTAATGACTAAACTCCAGGTCATCAATCATCAGCAGTCCCTCCTCACACAGAATCTGTGACCCAGGACATGGATCATGGGAGCAACCACGACGACAACAGGCTGGACTCCATGGCGACAGTACAAGGTGCAGATAACAAACACCTATTTCTGAAAACAGCTTCCCTTAAACTGTTGTAGTTGTGCAATTATTAGACGGAGAAGCTGCTGTCACTGCTAAAAGCTTCTGTCCCCGAATAAAGGACGTAAACACACGCAAGCACATGATATAGGTTTGAAATTGAATGTAATTGTTTAAGTGTTTATGAAGTGTTTAAGCCAAATTTTGTGACATGGAAAAAAAAAAATGTATGTAAAGTTTTTGATTTTTTTTCTATCAAATTAAAAATGCCTTCAATAGTCTGTGATCGTTTGAATCTGATCTTACTTTTTAAGGAAGAAAAATCTTTATTATTTGATTTAAGGGTTGCATAAGAAGAATACTGGAGGCATTAGTTCAGTTTTAAGGAATAATTGATCATTATCTTTGCTAAATGGGTCAACATGCAGACTAAGAAACCCATTTCAGTGGAAGAAGTGCAAAAAATACAGATATACCTGCGGCAAGGGATTGATTTAGTTCCTATCAACTGAGCCAGGACAACAGACTCCATTATTACACCTTCTTGCTGCTTTTGATGCTTAACTGACCAGCCTACTGGAAAGGTCCCCCCCCACCCCCCCCACCCCCACCCCCTGAGATTTCACAGGCAGACTGCTCCTGAGAAAAGTGAACATAATGAAATGAAGCGTGAGGAAGTTCAGCGAGGCTACCATTCTAATGGAGACAGGCGTTTTAATATATTTATTTCGCCAACATTATTGTCTTCAGATTAATGAGAAAGCCCCACATGTAACGTCTTAAACAGACAGAAAAAGAAACGGCCGTGATCTTTCGCCCGGCCTCATCAAAAGAGTGCATGGTTTTTCCAGCCCACCTCTGCTCCGTGCTGTGCCAGGACCGCGGCAGCAGACAGCGTGCTTGTTCAAAGGCAGTTTTTAATTGAATGTCAGTGAAGCAAGAAGAGAACTGGCCACTAATTAACGGCTGTCTTAATTGTCCTCGTGACGAGTTTGTTTGGACATCATTTGCATAATTAACACCCAGTAATAAATCATTTAAAGGGGAATTGTCTGTCAGACAGCAGGGCAGGATGTGGATCCTTTGTGCCAGGAAGTTTTATCGCCAAAAACAGGGACCAGGGCCCGAAAAAACACATTGAGCCTTACTTAAAACAATCTTTTATTAATGATCTTTGGCCAAGGTTGTGGGGGACCATGTTTAATATTTATATGAATGCATTAAAATCGAATATCATTGACCTGCTACTGCTTCAGAATCAATGGGCTGACTAAGTTATGACAGTTGTTTTAAAGAGTTTAATTGTGTTATGAAGTCATCTGGATATCTTTGTGGATTTCAGAGGGCAGAGTTTTCCTGCAGACCTCTGGGATGTACTGAAAACAAGCTGGAAGGATGGATGGATGGGATGAATGGAAGAAAAGAGCGGCAAAAAAGATTCCTCCTTTTTATGAGTGATAAGATCGCTCAGTCGCAGCCGTGGCATCAGAGATCCTCATCTCAAGAGGACTCCCCCCCCCCCAACCCTCTTCCCCACATTTGAAGGGTGACATTCTAACGTTTCCATTGTTCTCCTTGTTTAATTTATTACATTAATCACAAAATCTCCACCATAGTGGGAACAGTTTTTTTTTTTTATTCTGATGATGTTGTTTGACAATGTGCTTCTTTCACTCGAGGTTTTTTTTTAGATCCTTGAAGAAGACGACCGTAGTTGTTTTTTTTTTGTCAGTGCTGTTTATCTGGACACAAGTGGTGAATATAACTTGTAACAGAGTTGTGTACATAAATATAGTCATCATTTCTGTTTTTGTTATAATAAAGAAAATAACGGCATGTTGTACAGTCAGTCAATGACTTGTATTGTGTATGTTATGCAGTAGTGCAGTTTGACAATACAACCAATACAAATTCTTTTTATTAAACTGCCTCAGCTTCTTTATTTAAGTCACAAATCTATAAATGAATTGTTCATTTAAAGGGTTTTTTATGCAAATTGATACTTTATTGATTTTCTCATGTAAATTCCACCTCTCTGAATTTTATATTAACATTGGTTGTTGCTTTTTTCTTACAAACAAAGCAGTTCTTCTTTAAGTTAACCCTAGAGATCTGTTTTATGTGTGTGTGTGTAAAGTGAAGAGGAGGGGGAGGGGGACGTCCATGTGATCGTATGTCTGTACATGTGTGAAGGTGTGGCGACTGATGTGACATTGATTCTTGCTACATCTCCAAAAACATTCACGTAAGTATTGACAGCCAGACGGGGAGGTGGTGAGCAGGGTCACATTTGAGCTGTGCTTAAGGGAAACTTGATGACGATGCACTCGGCTTGATTCTTTTTCTGTACGGCTGCACTTGGATGGAAGGCTGAGAATGTTTATGTAAATGTGCAAAAAGATTATGCAAAAAAAAAAAAAAAAGACAATTTTTGGGAAAATAATTTTTAAGGGTGTTTTTTTTTTTTTCTTTTTTTTTTTTACAATTTTTACCCACAAAATATGGAGATATTTTTAGTGCAACTCATGATTAACATATTATGTCTTGTTCTGGGTTGAACTCCAACATTGATAATATTAATCAACTTATTTTAACTATAAATTAGATTTTTTTGTACACATGCAAGAGTCATTTGAAGGCATCATAAACTAAGGTCATGACTGTTGTGGAAAGCCATGTTAGTGTCATTACAGAATGCAAAAAAAAAACTTTTCAGTTTACAGTTTTCCTTTACTGGTCCAGAAAGGCCACAGGGCTGGGTATTTAATAACTTTTGAAAGGGAAAAAGGGTCATAAATGCTTCTGATCATTTTAAAGAACATAATTTACACCAGGACATAACAGAAGATACAAAGGATCCCAATCGGAAAGTCTTACCGGTAAGTAAAATACATTGCATTTCTGTGCCTAAAATAACATCTTTACAGTGAGTCAGACTTTGCTTATGCATCCTTGTCTAAATGTGCAGCGTGCCATTTCCTGGACACAGACAGATAAGCTGTGATGCAGGACTAAAACAATACCTCTCTTACCAGCAATTCTTCCTGAATACAGAGAGGATGACAGCTGAAAAGCAATGATTCACGTAAATTAATGTGTGCGAGTGAGTCATCAGCTTTTCAGATGACCACCTCAGAGGCTGTCTTGACTAAAAAGGTTTGTGACTTCATTCTGTGTCGCTCTCCTGTTTCATGCACACACACACACACACACACACACACCTCCCTCACAATTCACTGAGTAGCATTGTCCTGCCGAGAGATGTGTAATGGAAAAGATAAATGGAGGATAAAGCTAAGGTGACAGGACCGAGCATGCATGTGTGTATGTGTATTTGCATGTGTGTGTGTGTGTGCGCCTGCATGTGTGTAGTGCACAACAGACCAGCAAACCATCTGCTCATCTCCTCTTAATGAACAAAGCAAACAGCAGGAGTCAAGGCTGTCTCCAAATCTGGAGTCTCTTTATTGGTAAGCACACACAAACACACACATACATACACAAACACACATCTCTGCACTGTTTAATCTGATTATCTTTGATTGAGAACAGGGGCAAAGCAACCTTTTTAGACCTCACTCCTACATCAGTGACAGAGAAGGTCTGAAACACAATTAGCAAGCTGTTCCTGAGCTCTGCTTTGCAGTCACATCTGACCACAGGCAGCCAAATAGATCTAATGGGTGGGAACTAACCAATGGGAACAAACACACCACTGCTTCTTTGGATGAGGGGGAAATGCAACACTATTAGACAGCTGTTCGCCATATCTTTTGGATGTACTTGGACGTAACATAAGCATTGGATCAACTGCCTTAGGAGCAATCACAGACAGGCATTACGGTAGGCTTTACACACAAAGTTTGATGTGAATTAAAGTGGCAGCCTGTGGTGTAAGACAAAGCAGGGCCTCTGCAAAAAGAAGTGAGGACCTTGACAAGATATGACACTGGCTGCATGAGGCCAGAGGACCATAAGAAAAAAGTCTTTAATGTGGACTTTGTGCAGCCACATCCTGCTCACAGATCATTAATGCTATAACCAATCTGACAAAAAGCTCACCGCATGCTTACAAGACATGAAATGCTCCCTGATTGTTGCTTTAGTTCATAAGAAATGCATAAACACAGCAAATGTTCATAGAGGATAAGGCTGCAACATTATACAACCAGAAAGACTACTTCAGGCCCTTGGAATACACTCTGTAAAAGTGCATGAGAGAACAACAGGGTGGCATCATGGTTAAGAGACTGCCCTTCACCTGCTGGAATATCCTAGAGCAAGGCAGTCATTCCAGCTAAAGTGGTGCTGAGTTTGTTCAAATCTGGGGAAAAGGATCTCCAAGTCATCAATAGGTAGAACATGTCTGTGGATTAAGATGACCCGGTTGCTTGTGGATGCGCTACAGTGTGCCGTTCAGGGACCATGATCCATCAGAAAACATTTTTACAGTTCTCTAATGGATCATTAATTATAACAACAATGTGCTCCTTTGAAAATGATTGGTTTTATTTTAATGTATCTACCTTTTTTTTAAGGACTTCCTCTTATTCCATTTCGTTAATGTTTTTGTATTGTTGTTGGATATTTTATGTAGCCTATGTTTTATTTTTTTTTGGCTTCATATGCACATTAATTTTTTTTCTTTCATATTATTCCTGCATTAATTCGAATTCATAAAGTTATTATTAATCATAATAAGAATAATTATAATATCTGCGGTACCATTTTTGCATTTTAAATCAAAATAATTTTATATCCATATTTTATTTATTTTTTGCTTCCTTCCTTTCTTTTTACGAGGCGCTGCCTTAGTTTAATTGTCAAACTTTAGCGTATAAATTAGACAAACTCTTTTAAAACGAGTGGGAAATGTAAATCATCTTTACCACATCATCACTATCCCTTCCCACAACATCAGCGAGAAGAAGTAGTCGATATTTGACATTACGTGGTATTTTGTCGGCGATCGAAGACCTCGTCTGGCCTTCCAACGCAGAGCAACAGCGCCCTCTGCAGGCCAGTTATTTAATTGCTTTTTTTTTTTCAGCGGACTGCGAAAGGACTTTATTTTTGGACTTCTCAGGCTACCGTAGCAGTTTCCCTTCCCACTGTCGTTCACTCTTCACAGTCACAGCATGGATCCTCTCTCTAACTTTATTTCGGTGTTTTAGCGGTGTTAGTTTCGTGTTGTCTTGGGCTAAACGGATTCCGGCGGTATTTGAGAACCCCTCTACAGGCTATGTTTACCACCACCGGGTCCCGGGGCCTGTGTAAGTATCCTGGACACACCGACAAACGATCCCTAATGTTACCTGTTAGTGTCCACGGATACAGCTAGCTTATCTACTTATTAGCATTTCACTGTCATTCATTTACTCGAGGCACTATCTCTCATTTACAGCCATTTTTAGTTGATAGATAGACTACATTTTCATTTGCACCTGTGTTCGGAGACTTAGCCTATGTGCTATTAAAGCTCATGAAAGGTATTTTCTGAATCTCCTGTTTATGTATCTGTAACCTCTCTGTTTACACTTTAAAGGCTCTGTCGTCAAGTACACTGTTGCTCAACATGGGGGCAAAGCTGCAATGTAAAAAGAAAACAAAAAAACAATGTAACAGTGTCACTCTGTGGTCGTGATGTTTGTTGTGTTCTGCACAGACAAGGCTCCCCTGTCGAAAGGCCTCCTGCTGGTTCTCAATGGGCTGACTGTCATGCTGACCCTGCTGCCACAGTACCAGGAACTGTTTGAATACAACCTGCAGGATGTCATAAAGCAGCACCAGGTGTGTGATGTCAAAACATGCTTAGAACTGGTCCATTATTACATGAAAATAAGCTCTATCTGCTGCTGATTTGTATTACAGTTGTACTCTTTGACAGTACTGCCCTACAAAGGCAAAAGACCGTAACTCGCCAGAGTGTAGATCTGAGATAAATGACTTTTAAGTCTTTTTGTTGTCCAGCCAAATGAGTTGCAGGCAGAATATTGGAAATGTGGCAATTCTTTTGTCTTTTTAATCAGGTTATTAATGTACATAAAAATCTTCAGCTCAAACATGACCTTTGACCCTTTATTTGGAAGTTAAGGTACTCTGCCGTTGCATTGCCTGTACAATAACAAGGCGTCATGCCAAGGCAAAAGGCATTAACTTCCATTTGTTAGCTCCCTTGGTTGCTGATCACTGTATTAAATCAGTATATGATAATAATTCAATTTCAATTTTCAATTTTATTTGTATAGCGTCAACTCATAACAAGTGTTATCTCAAGACACTTTACAAAAAGCAGGTAAAAAGACCTTACTCTTTGTCTGTTAACATTACAAAAGCAGGTCAAAAGACCTTACTCATTGTTATGTTACAAAAAGCGGGTAAAAGACCTTACTTATTGCTAATAATGATAACATATACAGGAAATCTAGTGGTCATGGCACAATTAAGTGCTTGATGACAGATATTAAAACAAAGGCGTAACACCTTTAACTCCACTGCAGTGAAACAGTAACTTCACTTTGATCCGCAGTAAAACAAAGGCAGAAGACCTCAGTTTGAGCGTTCCTGAATGCTGCAGTTCAAAGGCAAAGACCCTGATGAGTGAAGTTACTGGACTCTGCCTTGGTTTCTCGAAAGCTTTTGGAAGTTAAGGCAAATACAACCTACTGTTTTCTCAAAAAAACAACAACAACAACAACACAATTGACTCAAGATATTTGTCCACATGAGAAAGCACATCTGTAATGTTCAAAAATGACAAAAACTCATTTTTGTAAAAATTGAAGTTACTGCCTTTTGCCTTAGTAGGGCAGAGTGGCTTCTGGGTTCTATCAAAGTTTTCAACCACATCTCATGTTTTTCTGGCAAAATAAGCCTGTAGCCATGTAATGGTATTATATCAGGGCACGTTGTTGCAATGTATTGT